AGATTCTGTGGCTGGCTCAGCCCACCCTGGGGACAGGGCTGGTGTGGCATGAGGTGCTGGGAATCAAACCAGGTTCCCTGTGCTTGCCTAAGCTTGCCTAAGCAGGCATTTTAGTCAGCTGAGCTATCTCACCAGCCCAGAACTCATTTAATAATTGAAGTTATTGAATGAGGAACTTCCATACATTTGAAACTGACTTCTTTGAAAAGCAACATGCATTCAGGTTTACAGTAATTTTAGGCAAAGTCATTCTTTACAGCCTCTCATTCCTTGGGAAAACTAGAATGTGTATTAAGTATTCAAAAAATAATTTTGTTCACTGGGATCATAATTCCTAGATTCATAAGCTATGAGGAAATCTACATTCCTTGTTGGATGAGAACCCAAGGTGGCCATCCTGAAGTTCCAGAGGAAGCTGGGATGCCTGTCCTCATGTTTGGCAGGTCAGGATTTGCTGATTAGTGAGTGAGCTGCTCAGAGAAGGTCATGCTCTGGCTTTTGAAGCCCAAAGCTAAGGGAAATCTGTACATTTTCAACAAAATGCTAGGTTTCTAGCTTGCAAAGTGCCTGAGCCAGGCAGCTTATCTCTATGCCAGGGTGGATGGCAGATGTTTGGCTGTTTCCCGACCCAATTCCTGACAACGTGAGAATTGATTCTGTGAGGTCGCTTGGGTCACGTGGGGCCCTCAGCAGCTAATGCCTATCTAAGAAGAAATAGTTCGGCCTATGCAGTTTGGAGAAAAAGTTCCATAAAGCCAAGGACATCTGAGTTTCTTCAAGAGCCAAGAAGCAAGAAATAGATCATTTCTTGACTCAAATTACCCACACACAGACAACACATAAATGAATTGTCCATTTGCAGCAGATTCTTAGAGACCAGGCGTACACAGCCTAACACAAGGGATTGTGGTTTTCTCAAATTAGAGATCCAAGACACACAGAAACACGTAGGGTATATTATGTACATCAAATATTTACTCTTCTTAGGCCAATTCTCTCTACTTTCAACTTTTCAAAGTTCTGCCAGCAAAGGCACACACACACACACACACACACACACACACACACAACATTGGGGTTAGAGATAAAGCAAAGCCAGTGTGGGGATTAAGCAAAAGTATAAAATAGTTCTTTAATTATTTTCCTTCCTTTTTTCCTTCCACTGTTGCTCCTACCCTCTACATCCTGGAGCTTCGAATGGCTGGTTTCCTGCAAGGCCTCTCTCTCCCTTAGACTTTCTCAGATGTCTCATTTCTAACACTACCCTTCCTACCACTCACCTCTACACCCAAACTCCTTAGCCTTCTCCAGGGACCTGACTGGAGGTTGCATGAGGCACAAGTGATGCTGCTGGTGACAGATGAAAGCTGTTGCTCTGTTGCACACCTGGACAGAGATCCAACCCTGGTTCATTGACTATTGGTGTGACCAGTGACAGCACGCACAGTATGCAGCCATCGAGAATCTCTGTTGTTCCTTATCACCATTTTTTCCTAGGAACTGGGAAAAGGAGATTCTCTACCAGAATCTACCAGAATCAGATTCGCTACCAGAGCCATCAGGAACTCCTTTTCCAGGCAGTAAGCATGCAGGAGAAGTCAGGGAGCAGCCTGTTTCTACAGCCCCTGCATCAAATAGCCATAACATACACAGACTTCCTTGTGAATGGTGTCTGTTTGCCCCCTATCAGCTGCCACCAGCTGTAGGCCAGAGGCCCCTGCTTTTGCTTACCAATGTACTGCATGCACTAATGTTAGTGCTCTCACGTACTGGGCCAGGCTCTCCTTCAGTTCCTGTAACCATCCGGTCAGGTCGGAACTAGTCTCATGTGCCCAAAGACACTGAGGCAGAGAGAATTTGTATTACACACCCAACTCAGCCAGCTGGGAAGTTCATTCAAACACAGGGAGTCCAGTGTGCCTGCTCCTTATCCTCTTTTCCACCATCTTGCCTCCATGCTTCCTGGTATCCCCCCGCTGTGGGCAAAGTAGCCTACCTCTTAGCAGGTCTGTCTCACCGGCAAGAGTGCAGTGTGGCCTGGAGGCTTACCTGTCCCCAAAAGGTGCATCATTGCTTTGCATGGGCCAGATGGAGCTATGGTTCTTATCAGTGCCTCCAGATTTGCCCAGCTGGCTCATTTCTCAATTTCATTCTAATCAGTTAACCAGGTCTTGTAAGTTCAAACGAATCCTTGCATCATCAAAGCAAAAAACTGTTTATATTTCTGAGCTAAAAACTATCTTAATATGGTCAGTAGGATGACTGCATGATTACTGCCACCTGCTGGAGAAGTGTGGCAATGATGACACAAGTCAATAGGGCACTGAGCACCCCCTAGAGTTGTGCAACATGTTTGCAGTGAAAACAGCAGCCTTGCTTAAAGACTCTAAGTAACTTAGCCAATACCTGAACACCAAAGGAAACACATGAGACATTTTTTTAAAAGGCCCATGGGTACCTACGTTTACAGAAGCTTGTTAACCTAAATAAATTTCTAACTAGGGAATTTAAGGCAGTGTGACAAGAATGATTAGAATTTCATGAAGGGTGATCATATTTTGGAAGACCTCACTCCACAATAATGTCCCTTCACACAATACAGTGTATTTCTCTAGACACTGGTGATTGAAGCACCATCATGTCAAAGGCCTCATCCAAAGTGTTTAATAACTGTCTTGCTTTTAAAGAGAAAAGGATGAAAAAGAGTGGTATTTTTATACAATGGATTATTACTGAGCTATAAAGAATGACAAACTCAAAGCCTTTATATTCAAGTGGAAGCCACTTGAAGATATAAGTGAAATAAACCAGACGCACATGTGTAAATATCATATAGTCTCCCTAGTATAAGAACTCAAAAGAATAAATAAAAATAGAAAGGTATAACACAAAGGGAAAGTGAGAATTTAAGGATTAAACAATGAAGAGAGGGCAAGGAGAAAAGCTAGGAAACATGACAGGGGCAAAGCCATACATTTATACATACAAGATGGGTAAGGCAGTGATCCTGAGAAACATCAGCAGGTTTTTGAAACTAGCAGCTAATTGGTAGGATTCTCACGCTGACTAACTATATATGCTGATACCTGTGAACTAAGCAACTGCATTGAAGAAAGCAATATGTAATAGAAGGGTCACACGTGGAATGCCTGTCATTCTGGTCTTCTAAATACATACTGTTTTCATGTCATACCAACTACTGCCATACTCTCTCTCAAGTAAATGTTTAAAGAAGAGTAATAAATGAAAATAAGAGACAAGGAAAAAAAGTCATAGAACTGTCCTGCTACAATGCTGTATATGATTAGATTTCTAAATTTCTGTGTAAAAATATGCAATTGTTTATTCCTATTTTTAAAATGTTTTTCTATTTTTTAAATTTTTTTCTTCAAATTCTGTAGGGATTTAAAGTTTAACATATCAATACTTGATGGAAAATACCTGTTCCACGATATGCCTTAAGATGTTTGATATTCACACAGATAGTGAGGTTGAGCTCAACTGCCTATGTTATAGGGCAATAACACATTAAGCTTCTCTTCTGGAGGGTTAACAACCTAAGTTTACAGACCAAAAATTAGAGAAAAAGAAGGGCTGCAAGGACAGCCAACATTTTGGCCCTAGCCTTTCAAAGTCAGAGAGGACTCAGGACATAGGAGAACCTGTACTGTAACATCCTGTAACTTAGTGGTGTCCCAAATTTTCTGATCAAGGAGATTATGGTGCCACAGAGGAAAGTGATCAACAATGTAGAGTGTGCCTAAGGAGGGTCACATGGAGAGAAAACATTCTCTCAGGCTTTCTCAGAGAGAAAATTGGTCAAGCAACAGCTGTGACTCATCCACATGGCTGACACTGACAAAAGATCTACAAACTGCTATACAGGGTTTCAGGATAAGTCCTGAGGGGATTTGACTGACCTTGTCAGATACAAAAGTTACGTTTCTTGTTATATAGGTCTTGCTTTATCTTGGTCTTAACCAGCCAGCAGAAAAGTATAAAATCAAGGTATAAAAAGTAAAGCCATATTAATATGCTGAGATGTAAAAGGCTCAAGTCAACAACTTCTAACACTGCCAGGCTTGTGAATAACCCACTACTATCATAGACTACTGGGCTATATTGGATTAGTCTGCTGAATTCATGCACCTACAATATATGAATGGCAATGGAATATACATCTCTGACAAAAGCAAACGAAAAAGGGAATGTAAATGGACCATTTTGTAGTGAGATATATATATATATATATATATATATATATATATATGTGTGTGTGTGTGTGTGTGTGTATACAAAATAGCATAAATATACAGCTATTTTCTCTTAGTTCAATGAGAAGAAGGTTTTGACCTAATAGTGTTTAGACAAAGATATCATGTCTGCATCTTGTACTAGGAATAACTACTACAAAGACAATATGCAATTTATTAATTATTGTAACTATACTACTAACCTGCTTTGAAACTATCTCATTGCTACTTTTTCTCAATAAAATTATTAAAATATAAAAAAATAGCCTGAATGTTTGGTCCCCGGTCTCTCAGCTCAGGAGGGCCACATTTGGAATCACAGGGTCTAAGCCCCAGCACTTATCTAGCCCACATATGAGCCTGGCAAGCTCTAGCAGCCCCTAACACTGGCCCTACCTTGGTGTTGGGGATGTGGGGAGACAAAGATTAATATTTACTGAGCACATTTTATACCAGGAACTCAACTTAAATTTTCTCAACTACTGTTTAGAACAACCCTTTAGAGTAAGTATTATTTTCCTCATCTTCTATGCAAGAACAGTTATAAGCTACAATTAAGATTTAAGCCAGTCTTTTAGCTGCACAGTTTGCATTCTTTCCATGAAACTGTCCCTGCAGGAAGACTGTTGTTCCTCCTCCAACCCTCACTCCAGACCCTTGCAGAGAGACAGAGGAGACTTCCCTGCTTGCATCTGTCCCTTTCTCCTCTCTCAGGTGCTAACAGCTTCTTCCTGCTTTGCTCCACAGGTGAGCATCTCCACGGTGGGCTATGGAGACATGTACCCAGAAACACATCTCGGCAGGCTTTTTGCCTTCCTCTGCATTGCTTTTGGCATTATTCTCAATGGGATGCCAATCTCCATCCTCTACAACAAGTTCTCTGATTACTACAGCAAACTCAAAGCTTATGAGTACACAGCCATACGCAGAGAGAGGGGAAAGGTGAAGTTCATGCAGAGAGCCAGAAAGAAGATGGTGGAGTGCTTGGCCGGAAGCACTACACAGCCCACCCAAAGGCAAGAGAACTAATATTTCAAAGGTCTTTTTGCTGGTAGACCCTGTGAACTTCAAGGCTTCATTGCACCTCCTTCTTCACACCTGGCTTCAAAAGGAAACATGAAGCAGATGTACACAAAAGCTATTCAGTTCACAGATCTGTACCTCTAGAAATGCTTGTTTGGGTCCAACCACAGAATACTTCATATTGCTTTTAACTATATTGTGTGTGAGAATCTCACTTACCGATGACTCTGATACAACTTGAAAAAAGCAGTACAGTATATTGGATTTCTCTGTTAGCTTCTCATGGTATCTGACTTGATGCACATTTTTGAACTTGAGTTGATGAGATTTTCCTTATTGCTGTAACCTGAGCAACTAATGGGGTCCTGAGAAGGGGTGATGGGAGATTAAGGAAAACCTAGACACACACTAAAAGCTGGGACCAAATAGGACCTGACCTCTTTGATGGAGAGGCTGCAATAGCCTAGCACAGTCTGCATCTTTATTTATATGCAGTAAAATGGGGAAGCAAGGTGCAGAGGCAGAAGCACAAGGTCTTCAAGTTTTGCTGAACACTGAAAGAGAAACACTCTCAGAGTTGCCTAGGCTGCAGTTAACAGGCAGGAACACCAGGGCCGGACACCAGACGCCTGCTGGACTGGCCTTGCTCCAGTCCCAACCACTTCTTTCCATGCCTCTGCTCTGGAGCACCATGTTCTCAGGGCTGGCCTTGCTCTAGCCCCAAATGTGTAGTCCCTTTCCAGCTCAGCCACTCCCCACACCTCATTTTAAGGAAAGTTGTTATATGTTTAAAGAGATGGAGTATTATAGCAACAACAGTAGAAGTACAGCAACCTCACAGTTGGCATCCCAGATCTATGGGCTACATGGTTTGAGGCAAGTCACTGTAGCCTGAGTCTGGGCTTCTTCAATGGTAAAATGTAGGTAATAAAACATACTTAGTAATGTGAGTCTGTAGATTGGAGGAATTAGTTGTAAATTCTCAATAAATGATAGTTGTTCAAATTGCTCAGATGGGTACTAACAGGTTCTCTAGACCAGTAGTTCTCAACCAAAGGCAGTTTTGCTCCCATTTGGGACTGTTTAGCAATGCCTTGAGGTGGGTTAGACTGTTATTACTGTGGAAGAGGACCGGGGGTGCTTCTGGCCTGTAGGAGACAGAGGCCTGGGGTCCTGCCCAGCATCTTAGAGTGCATGGGATACAGCCTTATCCCCGACAACAAACTACCTGATTCAAAAATCTCAGTAATGCTAAAGTGGAGAAATTTTGGTCTAGACTTAACATAGCACCTCCAACTTGACCTGTGAAGCACACCCAAGTGTATTAACTCCCTGCTCCTTGCAAAGAGTCTTACTCCTTACTTCCCAGGCTCCCTTTCCCTATTTTTTTTTTCACAAAAGAGAGGGGTAAGAATCTGACTTTTGAACAATTGCTCTAAGCCCTGCACTAAGCCTCGTGCTGTCCTTGAGTTGAGAAACCAGTGCCCACGAGAAGTTGGCCATTTCTCTCTCACTCACTTTCTCTCTGTCACTCTCTCTCCCCCACCCAAGGGTTCTTGGCATCATCATAATTGTCAGAAAGAGGACAGAGCTCTACTGCTGTAAGGGTGCTGAGGAAGGAACAGGATGCTGAGGCCTTTTAGCCTGTCTTATGCTGCCATATCAGCATACAGCACACTGAATAACTTAGAACAGAAATCTATTTCTTACAGTTCTGGGAGCTGAGATGACCAAGATCAAGATGCTGGGGACAGATTTGGTTGTTGAGTGAGGGCTCCCTCTGCTTCCAAGATGGGACCTTACTGTTGCATCGTCCAGAGGAGAACACTGTACCCCAATGTGGTGACGGACAGACTCACCAAGCCCCATGCAAAGGCTCTTGTAAAGGCCTTGATTACATTCACAAGGGGGAGTTTTGCAGCCTACTCACCTCTTGGATGCCTACTTCTTAGTACCACCATATTGCAACACCTCAATGTTGGAGACTATTCAAACCACAGTGTAAATTTTAATTCCACATAAATAACAACTAATTTTAATAGAAACATGGCCCAGATATTGAGTGGCATTATTTTGCTAAATATTGTTGCTTACCTGATGGGCTGGGTTACCTATATTTTCTTTGACTAACCTTGCCAGTGTCATATTACTGTCTCTGAGAGACCAAGTTTCCTCCCTGAATGGATGAAAATCACCCCAAGCCTTAAGAACTCCACCCTAATAGCAGTTCCCCAACCAAGAAAGACTTCTCTTCCCTCTTTTCAGAGGGAAGAGGAATGTAAAGTTGGCAAGGATTATGTCCTTGGCTGACACAGTTATGCAAATGCAGTTGCATGTGCAGGGGTCCCGTGCACAGCTACCTGACATGCTCAGTTCAGCAGCTGCCCTTCCACAGATCCCCACCTCTGTGCTCCTCCTTTGGTCTCCCTGTGAGGGCTTTATTGATGAAGTCCATCTACCCAGGCTGCTAAAGAGCATAGTAAATAGAAGGACCATAGTTTGTCACCTTCCCCCTGATTGACAAAGCAGAGAATGATGCTCTAGATGGGCCGTCCAGAGCAGGGTCCCTAAGATAAAAGAGTAGGGATAGGTTGGGGAGGGTTGAGATAGGTCTTAAGGACAAAAAGGGATTTTCCAGGCTCCTGCTTAGGATCTAGTAAATGGTCACGGGCCTCCTCCTGCTTTCTGGCTACATCTGCTCAGACAGCTGTACATGGCCTCCCCAGGGATTAGGACTGCCAGAATAGAGCTCAGACAAGAATTATTCCAAGAGCTTCACTGTGCCCCAGGGACAGAACCAATACTGCCTCATGTAATCCTTGCATTTCCCTATGAACTAAGTTTCAAGGAGGTCGCTCACGTACAGAGGCTCAGCAGCTGAGCTGGGTGTGGATTTCAAATCTGGTTCTGCCTCTTCCTCTGAGGGTGAATCATATGGAATTGCCATTTTCATCAAAGACAGCTGAATATTGGCAGTTTCATCTGGTACAGCCTGACTGTGGTGTGGTTATAACTTCAATGAACTTCTTAAAATGGAAATGAAAGTAGTGTTTTGTCATGACTGGGTTAATTAAATGGTGTGATGTAAGTTAAAAACCCATAGCACACCACGTGGTCATCTTGGGTCCTGAATAAATGTCAGTGTCATCATCTTCATTATCACTATATATTTTTTTAATTAATTAATTTGGCTGAAAAAGAAAATTATGCAAGTGCTGATGAGATTGCTCAGCAGACTAAGTGTCTGCCGGGCAAGCGCAGGGACAAGAATTTGATCCGCGGCACCACATGCCATGTTGGCCCTGCCCCCAGGCATGCTGAGCCTGTGGCTGAGACTGGATGTGGTGTCATACACCTATAATCCCAGCGTACAAGGATCACTACAAGTCTGAGCTGTGTAGTGAGACCTTGCACCAAATATATAGAAAAAAAGAAAGAAAGAAAGAAAGAAAGAAAGAAAGAAAGAAAGAAAGAAAGAAAGAAAGAAAGAAAGAATTGTGCAATTCCAGAGTCCCTTGCTATTGAGAGAACTCCAAGGGATGAGGACAGGTTTTGAATCTCACCGCTGCAAGAACTTTCTGGAGTGGAGGGGACATTGTGTGCAGTATGTCACAAACCATGCGTAGCCACTGAGTGCTTGAAATGCAGTCGGTATGACTCATGAACGAATTTGTATTGACCTTAATTTTAATACATTGTATTTTAACTTTATACAGGCCTATGTGGCTAGGAGGTATCGCACAAGCCTTTCTTCTGCCCTTGTGGAGGTGTCAGCTTCTGAGGAGTGTTTGTCTTTTTGAGGGGAAGTAGAACAGAGAAAAGAGGAGAAAATAACTGTCCGCCTGTGCTGGCTGAAACCAGGATGGATTTTTCAGGCCAACATGTACGGATTGAACATCAGTGTGGTTGGCCTGATTGGTGAGCCAGAATGGCCTGCTTTACTAAAAAAGAGGGCAAAATCCGCCAAAGTATGAGCAACAATAGCGAAAAGTTTTGAGCCAACGAACTCCACTCAAGTGGATCCTACCTTCACCCTGGAGACATCTGGGCTCTTTCACCTGTGCCAGCTATGGTCACACACTTCTTCTTAGACTTCTGACCCATGAAAAATGCTGCTCTTGTTTTATTTCAGGTTTAAGGGGGAAAAAGATATCCACAAAAAAAAACTTTTCCTTACAGTTAAGAGAACACATTAGATTATCACCTGTTAAAAAGAAAAGGTAAAACATGTTTCCAAAGTTTTGTGTTTTCTTTTTCTGTCTTTTTGAGGCAAGGTCTCATTATGCAGTTCAGGCTGGTCTTGAGCTCACTTTGTAGCCCAGACTGGTCTCAGGTGCTGGGATTATGGGTCTGTACCACTATGCCCAGCTTCCAAAGGTTCTAGCTAGAAGAAAGTAAGTTTAAATTCTGTTATATTTAAATTCTGTTATATAACATTTGCATTCGCCTTGCTTTGCAGGTGCTATAACCAAAGCCCAGGAAATGGAAGAGAACACCTAGAGGTTTCCTTCTTCCCCGTGCTGCCGCCTTTTCCTATGTCTCTAGCGGCTGTTGTTAATCAACCACATTACTCTTGCCCATTTCCCACCACAGATCTCTAGAAAACAACATGAATCTGTCAGACTTGGCTTTCACGATTTATTTGCCATCCTGGCATATGCTTAGGATTTTAAAAATAAGGAAGAAGGTCTGGGAATCTGTCTCTATTGTCTCCTGTGCTGTTTGAAGATTCTTCTATAAATCCAGACAATCTGTGTGGGATGTCTTTATGCCATCTTCGATACCTGGTAACTTTTAGTAGGTGAACCTTTCTGACCCCTGGTTTCCACATTAGCTTATGGAAGTAATTGACCTTTTGGGGACAATTATCTGATATATGAATGCAGAATACATATGTGACACAATGCCAATCACATTCTGGTAGTGGATGCCCAGTTTATGATAGCATTTACTCTTTGGAAGGCAGGATAGACAGAATGTCAGTGACTTACACCATCCGTGTTATG